ACTACTCTCAGGCATGGTTTTTCCTTTCAAGCCTCCCAGGGAAAGTCCAGCGTGCTGAGCAAACACGCATATCAAACAACCTGTGTGTCCTTCTGGCTCCTTGTGAAGTCTGCCAGTAAGGTAATCCATTACCTCACATTGCTTTCCATCTTTCCTTGCTTCGTTTCCTTTTTTTTCCTCATCCTCACCATCCAAATAAAACACCAGCACTTTAATCCTTGCCTAGGGCTCCACTTTGTAGGACCTAGGTGAGACACTCTAGTATTTGTTAATAAATCTGGCAGAGTCACACTTTTTAATGTTCAACCGTGCATATGAGAGCAGGAAGTACCAGAGCTCTTCCACTGACTGGACATTGAAATCCTACAAATATTTATCTTTTAGGAATACAGAAATGTCAGTTACATCCAACATAACAGGTTTTCAAGAAGTACAGTTTTCATTTTGTGGGTTATTTTCACAGGACATGGGAATAGTTTTTGGAGTCTGGGTGTTTTCTATGACCCATTTTTTCAGATAACACTACCAAGCTTAGATTCACTGTAACCGGTGGTAACAGTTAAGTATATTTATGCAAGTCTATATATTGCAGAGGAGAACAAGGTTGATACTCTTATGAAAGTTCTCAGTTAACAATCAAATCAGATCTTTTGAACTAATTTTATGACAGAAAGACTTCTCTTCCTATGTAGCTATAGGTAAAAGGATCATCTTTACCTCTGAGATGACTTTAAAAAACAGTAAAACTGGCCAGCCAAATGACTCAGTTGGTTAAGAGCTCGCTCAAGAGTGCGTGCTCTGAGCAACAGGGTCACCGGTTCAATTCCTGGCCCAAGCTGAGCTGCCGCTGAGCTGCCAACAAGTGGCAGGATGGCTCAGCTAAAAAAATAAATTAAAAAGTAAAATTCATCCTTTTTTTAGTGTACAATTCTATGAGTTTTGGCAAATGTATTCAGTTTTGTAACTATAATTGAGAAGTTTCATCACCCAAAAAAATTCCCTCATGTCACTCTGTAACCAACTGCTCCTACCAACCCCAGACCCTGGCAATCACTGATTTGTTTTCAGTCCCTTTAGTTTTACCTTTTATAGAATGCCATGTAAGTGGAATCATAACAGTATATAACCTTTTGAATGTGACTTCTTTCATTTAGCATGCTTTTGAGATTTCATCCATGTCACTGAGTGGACCAAATAGTTCATTCTTTTTTATTGCTGAGTTAGTATTCTGTTGTATGGATGTACCACAATTTGTTTACCCATCTGCCAGTTGAAGGGATTGCGTTGCTTCCGGTTTTTTACTTTTGAACAAAGATGCTATAAACATTTGTGTACAAACTTTTACAAGCATATATGTTTTCCTGTGGAGTGGGATTGCTGCTATGGAGTAAGTAGGTGTAAGTTTGATTTTTTTTTAAAGATTTTTATTGGGGAATTGGGGGATGGGAACAGTGCTGGGGAATTGG